TAGACTATTTTGAAACAAAATTGATAGTTTATAGATTATTTTGAAAAAAAAAATTGTTTCCAAACTAAGCTGAAATAAAACACATAGTTAGTAAACTATTTATTAAATTTAGCCAATTACAAAGCCTGCCAATTAACTTTCCCAATGTCTGATTTTGCCTCAGGTGGCGCGAGTGTTCAGCTGGAACAATAGCCATATTGTGCTTGCTAACAACGGCATTCTCTCCTTCACAACAATACTCGATTCCCTCTCTGCCCTTGAATTCTTTCATGCTATTCAACTATTGTGTTATGATGATGGTGTGCACCATAGCACTAGTTATCGATGTTAGCCATAGAATCACTGGTCACAACTCCTGCACACGCGACTGGATAGAAATTCTACAGACTGTTATTGTCCTGACGGGTTCATTGGCAGTCATTTCACTCCTTTCCATTAGCAAACCAGATGTTGCTTTCGTCTCCTTACTTGTGTGGCTCCTCCTTGCTGTATCAAGACTTAACCAAATCCATACTGCCCATTACCATCAATACAACATCCAATTCGTTCAATGCAACAATCAGTTCTTTCAATGCAGAACTTGATATGGTGTTGGTGAATGTATCTTCATAAGGACAGGGTGTAAAATAATCTGATTGCAATTTTCTATATTGTGGAGTAATGTGATGTAAATGTAACAGGTTGTAAAATAAATTCCCTATCACCATTAGGACTTTTTTTCACTTTGGTGTGAGTTAGGGGAATATGTTTTTCTGATGGGTTATTTGCCATGTATAATGGAGTATTACACAGTACTCACCTTTAATATTAATAAAAAATCCTTCTACTCCTCTCTGTTCATGTTTGCCTTGCTATCTCAAATGTTGTAGATGGAAGCCATGGTGAGGAAAAGGAAGAGGGTGAAGGTGGCAAGGTGAAACCCAAAATTTTCCATTGTTGAAAGCTAGAACTGGAAAGGCTTTTCGAATCCGGTATATATATATATAACTGCAATTGCAACTTAAAACCTGATGCAAAACTTTTATATATCCACTTGCATATCTAGTTAAGAGCATAATAATTAAGAAAAATATAGCTTTAGCAGTTCATTGTAGCATAAAGATTTTTCTTTCAAAATTCTTTACATTTCCTGGTAGCCCAGTACAACTTTCAAAATCTTGCAAACGACTATAAATGTAATTGCTTCAAAAAGATTAACACAGAGGCCTAATACAACTATTGCATTCCACTGTGTTTTGTATTCACAAGGTCACTTTTCAGTTGTAGCATATGGTTGAGGAAGAATTCATCCGCATGAATTACGTCTACCTCATTTGGAAGTTCAGTGTCTTTATGCAGTAGGCATACATGAAGGCAAAGAACACTGTGAATCCAACCAGAACACCAGCAACTGGTCCCATGAAATTTGGATCATAACCGAAGTGGCTCTCAATATACCATCTAATAGATGGTTGTACCGTGGATCCTGGAACTTTGATTGTCTGTTCTACATCACCATATTGTAATATGATTAATCCAAAGATTGTCCATGCCACAGGGCAGATCCAGTAGTACCAAATCCACCACTTGGGAATTCTCTGCAAATTCATCAACATGGAATGAATTTTTGAGTCAGTACGAGTAACTGAATTATGACTAGAATAGACTTTACTTGTGATTAAAGTTAACTCACCGATTTTGGGATGAAGAAGCCGCAGAATAGATTGAAGAGTGCATAGAAAGCCACTTGAAAACGGCATAGAAGCGGGCGTTGACAATGTACCGAGCAATGGCTCTGCTGATGAACTCAGTGCTGTGTTAACCTCGTTGGTTGCTGGTAGCTAAAGACAGAACTTTGTGGTGTTGGTGCGGACGTGCTGTTTGGCTCCCAGAAGTCATAACTTGCTCCCTTTCACCAAAAAGTTGAATCCTTTGATTATGTTTTGGAAAACGGTAATGCAAATTGAAGAAGAAGAAGCTTTCTTTTTTTTTTTTTTTTTATCAGCAAAGATGAGAATTATTATTAAAGCGATTGCAAGTGCTACTTCAACGCTTTTACAGGTAACAATTTTAATTGCATTCTTATAATTCTTTAGCCGACAAATAGAGAAAGAGACACCAGTCCCTAAATGAAAATTTGGCGTTCAAGGTTTTACTCTTAATCCACGAGAAAGATTTAGATTGACTTAGCTCAAGGATTCTATGTTTGTCCCACTGCATATTCTTGAAAATAATCCGTTCCTGGGATTCCAAATAGTTCAAGCAACCACAAGAATTGTAAATAACCTTCCTGATCTTGCCTTGTTATAGACTGAGAAGAAGATGCTACTCCGAAGTGAATTTGAAGAATCGGGTTTAATTCCTCCTAATAACACCCTTAATCTTGAAATTAAAAGGCAATTGCAGGAATTGGGTTTTAGGCTTTGAGAGTCATCACATTTGAGTAGTAAAAATCCCTCCAAGAATTGCCATGTGAGCAGCGTGGGTCACCGCA